TGGTAATACCTGAAACGAGGAAAGAAAATCAACAACCTATTTATGCAAGATAATTCCTAATTTTTTGGAGGGGTTATATTGGTTGGGTCTGATTATTGGGGAGGTCATAACCCCCCTAGAAATTACGCCCCTGATCTTTAAGTCAGGATGTGAACCCACATGCTAAGGCTCCAACATGCGGGCAGTTTAGCAGATCAGTATAGTGGTCAGGGCATTGTCAGTTTAAATGCTTATGCTGTAGCAGCACATCAGAAATATATGTCACAAGGTTGAGTTCTTTAATTTAAAAGTAAAAATGAAGTTTTTACTTTGCGGGTTCCCAAAGGTGTCAGAGCGTCCGCGACATCATTAATATGCGACACGAGCGCTACAACAAAGGTGTATGTCAAGGCAAGAATATACCTGCTGCTCGATCTGTGGCTTTTTCGTCAGACTCTGGGACCACAGTGTTGTTTTTTGTAGCCATTTCCCCCATTGCTGGGTTTCATGAATGGTGGCCTTGATTTTCGAGATGTTCTCATGAATCATCGAGTGACGCTACTGACCAGCCAATCAGTGGCATGCAGTCTGACGATGTCACATTTTAGTACCTGCTCGGATTGCTTGGAACCCTGGGTGAGCAGGAACAAAAAACATACTTGGTACCGGGTACTATGACCTAATGGAAAACCCTGAAAACCACGGAGAATTGTGCCGAGTGCCCACACTCAAGCATAGTCATTGTTTTGCATTTTAGTTTTCTTTTTCTATTCCTTTACTGATTGTACTTGGTTTATTGTTTATTGTGCATCATTTTGGTCAACAGCTGTTGTGTTTAAATATGCTATATAAATAAGCTTAACAGTACTCAGACCAATGCTTTTCACAGCTAAGGATTCACACATTCTCTCCAACTCTCTATACACTTTTGTAGTATATTTAATTTGACAGAAAAAAACAAAAATACACAATAAAAAAGAAAAAGATTAACTTAAGTCCTTTTTTATTTCTACCAATATTGCTATAATATTAGTGTGAATTCATATGGTATAATAATCTGGTAAAAATTTAACATCATTTCCAAATTCACTTACACAATTAGCTGTTTCTGAAATGGGTCAACCTTTGTCAACATGCTTGTGTAAAGGTTTGAAAAAGATCCAGCTGCCTCCTATTTCAGTGAGGTTTTTTGGGTTTAATAGGACAGCTTGTCTGCAAAAGTAGGACACTTACCTGAACTCTAAATGAGTGCAACTGTATACACATCTCTGGAAAATTTCATTTTAAGATATATTTGAAAAGTACAAGTCAGACTTTAATATTAAGATTTTAATCAATCACATTAAAATAACATTTTCATGATTATCTCTTTCAAACATTAATAAAAAATAATGAGATAGTCATGTTCCTGTTTACTTCATGTGAAACTGTTAAATGACAGATTACATGTTTTATTAACATTCTCAGCTGTTATTCGCCATACTAACATCAACATTGCTATGTAAATTTCCAACTCACCCCTTATCCTTCAAGCTCAAGCCCACTACCAGAGGCCTGTTAACTTGAAGGTCCTGGGCAATATCTTTGCTTTTCCTGGGACTACACTCTGCTGGATGGACATCTCGAAATGTTGTTGGAATCTGCTGGAGCCACTAACCCAGTTTGGGGGTTACTGCCCTGAGTGCTCCAATTACCACGGGGACTGCTGGTATCCTCACCTTCCACAGCTTCTTAAGCTCCTCTTTCAGCCTTTGCTATTTCTCTGGCTTCTCGTGTTTCTTTTTCTTGATGTTGCTATCACTCAGGATAGCTACATCTGCCACTACGACTGCCTTCCTCTGCTTATCCACCACTACTATGTTCATCACCTGTTTGTCTTTCTGTATCTGGAAGTCCCACAGAATCTTAGCTCGCTATGTGCTGGATTGTCTTATGGGCCTCTTTGCACAGCATGCACCTGTGCAAAGATGCACAAGTGCATCAGGTCTACCACCTGGTGTGGATCTTGTACTTCGGGCTTATTCGTGTGCTGCCATGCTTAGTGCCTCTGTGCTGTCTTTTAGTCAAGCTTGGTCAAGCCACTGGTAGGATTTCTCAATATAAGCCACTTCATCTATCTGCCAGCGATACATCCCATGCAGCAGCCTTTCCTTCCATGATGGTTCCTCTTCTTATTCCTCTTCCACCTATGTTTCTGTTGCTTGAGGTATTCACGAAACACACTATCAGTTGAGGCTATCTTCCTGATGTACCCATGGATCTTTGTTTCATCCTGGACAGTGGTTCTGGCACTCACTAATCCTTGGCTACCTTCCTTCCACTTAGTATACAGTCTCACAGTACTGGACTTGGGTTGAAACCTTCCACGCATGGCAAGGAGTTTCCTTGTCTTGTTGTCAGTGGCTTCTCTTTCTTTGGCCAACTGATTATCCTAGCAGGCTATCTGACAATGAGAAGGGCCCAGGTGTTTTTGCCTGGATCTTGTTCTTCAAATTCAGCAGATTCTTCAGGACTTGCCTTACTATCTGCATGTATTTGGTGGTTGCGGTTTTCCTAGGCTCCTCTTAAAAGTTCCTGTTTCCCTGTGGGATCCCCAGGTACTTGTAGCTATCCTCAGTGTCTGCATTGCTGCCTTCTGGTAGTGCAGTTTCCTCAGTTCTAACTACTTTCCCTTTCTTTCCATCTGACTACACTTCTCCAGTTGTTGCTGTGGATCCTAGAGGTGTGGACTACTGAATTGATGTCTTGCTAACTCTTGGCATACAGCTTGATGTCATCCATGTAGAGGAGGTGGCTGACCATTTCTCCATTCCATAGTCACTATCCGTACCAAGCCTTGTCAATGATACGGCTTGATATGGTGAGGGGATTGAGGTCTACGTACAACAGCAGTGGGGACAGAGCATCTCCTTGGTGAATCCTGCACTTGATGTTGACTTTTGCAACTGGCTTGAAGTGACTGCCCTATCTACCAGTGTTTTTTCCATGTTGTGTTCCTGACAATTTATTTCTGAGCCCCACTCATGTATTGAGCCATGTGCCAGTATTCTTAAAACTTTTTGATAAAGCATATAGTTAGGGCTGGATCAGGTTGACCCCTGATGCAGGTTCCACAGCATGTCTTTGTCCTGTCTTCCTTCCCTAACCCCAACCAGTTGTGGCAGATTGCTGCCCCTCCCTGAGCCTGGTTCTGCTAGGGGTTTCTTCTTGTTAAAAGGGAGTTTTTCCTTCCCACGGTCACCAAAGCACTTACTCGTATGGGGTCAAATTATGTTTTTCTCTGTTTTCGTTGTATTATCATACGATCTTTAAATCCTGTCTGCTATGACTGACAGAAGCTTCCGTGTGGTACTGAGGCACTTTATTGGCCAGTAGTTAGATGGGACTCGTTCCTTCTGGGGATTCTTGGGGACAGGATTGTCCGGCCTTCAGTTAGCCATTCTGGTTGTATTTCATCCATGAGCAGCTGGTTCATTTGTGGTGCCAGAGTGCAGTTACTTTCTCTAACCAGTAGGCGGAATCATGTCAGGGCCTGATGCCATCCAACTCTTCATACTTAAGACTGTGTCTTAAATGTCTGTTGGTTTAGGTAGTTGTTCTCATGTTGTTCACCTGCCGCTGAGAGTACACCTTAGAATCTAAGGTGTCCTAGCTTCAATTTCTCAGGTTCAATTGGCAGGTTTAGGCTGAAAGTCTTTGCTTAGCAGTTTCCAAGCCCTCAGGTATGTGAGTTACTATCTAAGGGGTAGTGGATAGTTTTTAACCCACATAATTTCCTTAGGGATTAATAAAGTATTCTGATTCTGATTTTCATGCATTCAGCAGCTTTATGGTCATCAATTCTGCCACATTACTTGTAACAAGTTGTTTTCCGTTTTTCAGGAGAACAACTTGTTACAAGTACAAGTTACTCTTACACCTGCATTGTGAGTGTTGTGATGTCTAAGTCTGGTGAAACAACGTTTGATGTAAATGTAAAATTGTATGTTTGATGTGATGCACTGCTTTTAGAAACCAATGAATCACATTCAACTTGCTGAATTTGTCTGTACAAAACCTTTAGTACAATTTTTCTTCCACACAATTCAAAAATTCTTACAGAATTGTTTGTATTCATGAAAGAACAAATGGTAAACTTTTTTAAAATAAACTTTCAACCAAATCATTTTCTTGAACAGAATGATAATAAATTGGCCAATCTCACCAGAAAGAAGCAGTTCAATTGCAAATTCCCCAGTAACTTAAAAATGTTTCATAAGTAGTGGGGAATTTGCCATCTTCTCTATGGGACCATGGATGAATGTGCTAAAAGTCCAAGTACAACTGCAATATCATCAGCACACTATCTAAAGCATGTGAAAGAGCACAGTTTGCATATCAGTGATGAAACTGTATAACTTCCATGCGAAAGTATCAGCTTTGTTGTTTCTAGGTGAGAGTTCTACTACTAAGATAGCTCACCCCATCACCCCACCTATTTACCTTACCAGATATAGAAATTGCTTGTACCTGGATAAGCAGATAAGGCAGCTATTACAAAAGCCTTTCTAAATGTTGGGAAACAGCTACTGACCTAGTTATTGCAGAATAAAGTGACACGTCATTCATGCTAAAGTAATAAAAATGTCATTGAATATAAAATAATGTTTAATTTTAAACAAAATGAAAATGTTTGCTATGACAAAGATTTGACGAAAAGAAGCACAAGACTGCTTACACAAGACACAATATAATCCTATAAACTGGGCTTCAATATTACCCATATGTTCTGTGTTCTTATTTATTGACAATGACCATAGAATAAAATATGAAGGCATCAAATTGAACTTTCAAGGGAGCAATATGACGGCTTTAGGACCCTGAAGTCACCCTCCTTCAGGAAGAGGGCGTCGGCTCGGTAGCCGGTGGAGGAGGAAGGTGCTGTGACTGGCGAGCTGCTCGCGCAGTGACGCGTACAACCGCGAGGTCAGGACATTGGCGCGAGCGATGCGAGTCAGGGGCTGCGAGGAAACAGACTAGAGAGAAACACCTCAGCCGGGTATCGTCTTGTTTCAGCGGTGTGAAAAGAAACACAGTGCAGTGAGCATGTCGGTGCTAGCTTTGCAAGAGTACGAATTCGAGAGACAGTTCAACGAGGACGAAGCTATCCGATGGATGCAGGAGAACTGGTAAGGCTACACTGTAACGTTAGCGCCCCGTTTATAATCCCATATATAGCAATGAACGGTTTTTCTACAGCACATTCAACGCGCCGTGCTCGCGCTAAATGTGTGTTGGAGCCTGTAGCGTGGAACATACATCCACCTCGTTTACCGGGATTAAACCTAGCCGTATCCTCTTACATCAGCCTCTTTGTCATCATCCGCGAATTTCTGACTGTGCTTCATAAAATGAACAAATTCATGCAGGCCTTCAGCCGCATGCGAAAACGCCGCTCTGCCACATTTCAGTCTGTCTGCTCTCATTGGATGCTACATGCTCTTCCACTGTTGCATTGTGCATCTTTCATGAGCAGGATTTGTCCTTGAATTCCTGTGATTTATTCTCCCGGCATCACTGCCGCGATAGTATTATAAAGGTCATCCATTCCTCCAGCTGTCGTACCGCCATCCACTCACTGGGCCAGTATGTTTTTATCCACTGATTGACTGATTTTCTTTGATCAAGAGTGGGCAGCAGTCATGGTTTATTTTTGTCCTTTAAAATAGAGATATTTGTTATTAATTTAGTAATTATTTGTTCTGTGTTTTAAAACAGTTTATTTTTCATTATGAGTCATATATTGATTGTTTTCAATCAATGGAGTATAAAATGATTAAAAACTGTCATCACAAGCCCCCAGACTCTAAGGGGTCTAATGGCATGCTTGGTCCAATACATTTCCTATGTAAATGAAAAGAGAAAGTGTTTGGAGCTCTACTTTAAACAAAATGGCTGGAACTATTATTAACCTATCAAAATTGTTGATATTTTATTCTTATTTTATTGATTGATTGAGTAATAACCCAGTTCTGTTAGCTCTAAATAAGATGCCTTTCCAAATGAAAGAATATGAAATCCCAATGAACCTAAAAATTAATTGCTACACAAAATATAAGAGACTAACTTGCAGCAAAAGCCTTTTTTAACAGTACTAATTGGAGTCACTGATGAATCACAGCTTCCCACAAATCAAATGTGTTTTCTTCCTCTAGCCGTAAGCATGCAGTTTTTTTAAAACTATTTTTCACAATAGAGTGTATAAGTTGACCTTTTACAGACATTTCATTTTTAAGTACCTTGTTAGGGGGGAAAAAAAGGCAAAACAAACATCTGAGTGATGTTAAGCAACTGAATTAGCAGTTCTCCACATGCTGCAGATTCTGTTAGTGGCCTTTCAAGTTGCAGCTGATCTACAGAACAGAAGGACTATTCTCCCAACAGCTGTCCAAGGTGGTGTGGATGGAGTATATATGAGAAAGCAGGATGAGATCCTTTCGTGGAAGGCAGCTGAATATTCTTGAGGGTCACTATAACAGCAGCCTGACCAACAGTCCAGAGAATGGCGAAAATATGAAACAGGAAGTCGCAATTTGTTTTCTTCTTCAAAATAAGAGTGAGGTGGCTTGTCCTCAAAATACCCCGTACTAGTACAAGATGCTGCAAATTAAAGCTGAAGTCACCTTCTGGCATCGTTGTGCATTGATAAGAAGCGTCAATATTTAAAATGCCTCATTGTTTACTTAGGGTGGTGTCTGCTACGCTTTGCACAATCTGTAACATTACTCCAGGCTGAAATTTCCCTGTTGCTACTAACGGATGAGTAAATATTCTTCATGATTGTGTGCAGTCATGCATTACAATCGTGGGTCATGTACTGGTCCGTCCACCCAGCTTTTGCATGAATTAATAGAGGGTTATTTTTGTCCAGGTTCACGCCAGGTTGAGCAAGAAATGGTTCCAAGCAAAACAAAATGATTCATGGGTAAAGTTAGTATGAGCTTCATTCACTGGTAGTGGGTTTTTAGAAGGCAGCACACAGAAAGTAAGAGGTATTTGTCTAGCTTCATCTGTTTCAACTGCCTGATAAAAGGCAGATTATTTTTAAAGCATATTTTCCTTGAGTGCTTGGAATGAGTTGTAGAACAGTTTCAGTCTTATTCAGTAAAATTAAATGTGTGTGTGTGTGAGTGTGAGAGAGAAAGAGACCGAGCGAGAGAGAGTGAGTGAGAGACCACATGGGAGTAATGTGTAGGAGCTGTCCATACCCTAGTACTGACAACCAACCAATAACGTTCATCTTCTGATGTCTGCTGACAGAGAATTGGCCAATCAGGTTGCAGCTGATCTGTGATGACCTCTCTCTGCTATTCCTGTAGTGGAAGATGTCAGACAGGGCCAGTGCACATGGCTAATAGAGACTATGAAACAACTATGAAAAAAGGGACTGTATAAGTTTATGAGTTGACATTAGGAACGTAATAAAGGGTGACGTGTTTTTATGGCTTAAGGGTGAGACATTAGGAGCTCTTATGAAAGCATGTGCCTTAGAAGAAAAAAAAATGCCTCTGTTTAATGGTTAGCTCAGTGCAGTACTTAAACCACCACACAATAACTTTAATCTAATTTGCACAGTTTGCGTTTATGTATTTATTTTGTGTATTTATCCTGCAAACCGTTAACAAGGCCAAGTGCAAATATGAACTGATTTCAGTTCATATTTGCAAAAGCAAATGTCAAGAATTGCATACAGATCTCTGGCTTGACTGTTTACAGTCTTGTTTGACTAGAAGAACAGGAGGATCCCTTTTGATGGATGTGCCAGGGAATAATTCAGACTCTGAAGGTAAGGCCGATCATATATTTATCATATAACATATGTATCTGATATTTATCTTTGGAAATCACGATAAATGTTTATTTTACATTGCATTTAACTGGCTATAGAGTAGACACGTGAGTTATATAAAAGCATGTGTGCATGACAGAGGAGTCATTGATAAAGCATGCAATTGGCCCTGAAGTTAACACCATTAGACTGTGACTGTTGAACATAGTTATGTAATAGTGTTGATGATGATAAGCTGGAAAAACAAACAGCTCTAAAACTATTCTATTAGTCAAAACCAAATATATCTTTAATCAGAAATAATTATATATGTTACACTGTTGTTACATTTTTCCCCTAATATTTCCATGTACTGTATTCTCATTGTTGAATATAGGAAAGCATCAGCTTTAGTCATGACAGTCATTTACATTCAAGCAAAATGTATGTTAACTGAACCATGAATCCTGTTCTTTGGCTATCAGATATTATGTATTATTTCTAGTGTGGTCAGTGTTGCCTGTTTCAGTTTGTATTATTTGATGTTAAATATGCACAAGTTTATTTTTCTTGTTTCATGTTCAGCCAAGTCCCAGCTAAAATAACCCCTCTGTTTAAAACAAGACAAGACATAAGTGTACATTGTTATATACTGTGTGTATGTCATTGTTCTGCAGGGATGAATGGAGACTGGTGCCCTGATCTAATGTCTTTGTTGGACACTGACAGGAGACAGCTCAGTATTGTATAAGAAAGGTCAAAGAGTCGGTTGAAGAACTAAGAAGAGGAGGAAGAACTAAATACTGTGTGATAACATCAGCATCTTGCCTTTTTGACAACAAAATGTATTCAGTACAATATAAACCTAAATATTGTAGGGGCAGGGTGTTTTCATTTTTTCTCCACTTCAATCTTGTGGCAAAAGATTGTCTGATTTGACTTTGGCAAGGAAATTGTGGTGCACAACCCACATTTAATTGTGATTAAGTCACACTAGGAAATTGGAAAACCAGTTTAAAATTGAAAAAACCCCAAGATAATGACTTCCATTTACCTCGGAAGTCTCAGCAGCATGTTTCTCCTGGGACCTGAGTCAGTTGAAGTCAGATGCACTCGTCAGCTAGATCATATTAATATGAGAAGTTTTTTCTTCATTTCAGTTCCTTGGCCCTTCACAACCCATTTCAACACATAATCACTTAACACACAGTAAACCTCATGCAATGCCTGACTGTAATTGCACATATAGTGCATTTATTAACATAACTTTGCAAACTTGTCTTTGATATAAAATTGTTTAGCATGACATGTGCATCATGTTACTGTTTTGAATAAAGTCAGTTTAAAAACACATGTTTGTGTATTTGTTGTGTATTTGTTGTTGCAGCTCAAATTTTGGTTTGAAATGAATAAACAAGCACTTCTCTCATTTTGATAGGTGATAGCACGTCCAGTCTAATGTGGTAATATCTGGACTGCAGTCTTTGGTTATTACGTCTGGTGTGACTGTGTGACTGAACTGGTTTGTCATCACTTCAAATGAAAACTTATCTTCCTAAATATATTAAAACCTCAGATGTGATCCAGTGCAATGGATAAAATCTGCTCCATTTCAATATTGCCTGATGTATGTTAAGCTTGCAGTGTTCCTTACTATCCATAAAAGACACGTTGTTATTATTCAGTGTTATACACACACCTTCAACCTGCTGACTCAGTCTGCACTTCCACAAACGTCATCATTTCTCATTAGCATGCAGATTGTTTAGAACCTTATGTTCTATTTTTTGAAAATCCCCTTGTGTGGATAGCATCCCCATGGGTCTCTTGCTCTTTTGATGGATCTCTGGTGATTTTGCTTTGGACTGATAACACGGGCTGCACAGTCGTAGAATACTGCAGGGAATGAATAATGAAAATTTTGTGTGTGGTCTGACTGTTAATATTTCTTCTAAAATTTGCTTCATTTGCTGTTGCTTTATAAACTTTTAGAGTAAAATAATAATGTTTAGACTCTGCCTTCATGAAATGTTTATGAATATTACTTTTGACAGTAGCATTGCTTCTTTTTAGCTAACCATTTGCCTTTCAATTCAGAAGTATCCTGGCTCACTGACTAATCTTGAAGATCATGTTTCTGGAACTCGATAAGTTGGGGAGATAGCGGTCTTCCATCACAGTTTCATATTACTTATTCAGTCCAAGTGCAGCCTTCTCCATTGTTTCGGAGTTCTCATGCCCTATTATTGTACAGATGAGACCAGTAGATGGACTGGATTAAAAAATTATGTTGCATCAGTGGTTAGTGCATAGTGGCATTTCCCATAGATTTAAACTTTTACTTGTATTGAGTAGAGTATG